GCCACTCAAATGGAGATGAGAGCTTCAGGCTGTAGCTCAGTCTGTGACTGTGTCTGCGTCTGTGTCTGTGTCTGTGTCTGTGCCTAATGAAATGGCTTTCTACGTGTGCCGGCCTTCTCCTCCCTCACCCGACTCACTTTGCCCGTGGACCGAGGGAGACCCGCATCAAGTTGCCGATTGAACTTTTCTTGTATTTACATTGTAATGGCATCTGGCGAGCAAACACACACACTCCCATTCCCATTCCCACTCCCGTCCCATTCCTGTCCCATTCCCATTCCCATTCCAATTCCAACTCCCATTCATCTGCATAGCAGCATAATAGAATTGGGACTCGAGACTGCAACTGAAGTCTTGAGAGCAGAGAGATGCCTCTTTATTGTGGCTAATAGGCTCTTGCGCTTTGTTGTTGTGCCGCCGTTTGCACGTTGCAAGGCGCGTTGCACGTAGCGCAGTTCGGCTCAGCTTAGCTGCTCTCTCCCTCTCCCTCTTCCACTCTCTCGCACTCTGTCTCTGCATCTGCACTTGACTGTGGATTGTGGATTAATGAATGGCCGACAAGCTGGACATGGTTGGTAACCGACTCTTACCACCGCCGCCGCTGCTGCCTGTTTACCATTAATATCCCCCATTCATTGTCGCCGCAGTCAACAGGCCTCTAATTATGTGTAAAGGTGTTGTGTGTGTCCCCTTCCCCTCGCTCCTTCTTCCGAAGAGGGGGGTAATTAGTTTTGAGCCGAGAGTTTGAATTGCTGAGCTTCTGCTTAGCCCATTGATGGATGCTACTGTATTTGAGATATCCCGCCAAAGTGCGATAGGAGCAGGAGCTCTGCAGCTTTCATTTCTTGTTTAATCGTCATTAACCATATCTTTAGTATTACATGAAAACTTTTAATTGCTCTGCTCCATAATTTTACCCACAGCTAGAGCCATTTCATATTTCATAGCCTCTTGATCATTCCTTTGATCCCTCTGGCTGCGAGTGACACTAAAACTTATTTGTCATTTCATCATTTTTTCAGTCTTGACAAAGTTTTTTATGTCTCAAGCTCAAGAATTCACTTGCTCCGCAACTTGTCTTCGCTTTCATTTGATAGCTGTCGAAGTCAGCTGCTGTCACTGGACAAAGTTCAAAGACCCATGCACAAAGGCGACAGCTGATGCTGAAGATGAGGCTGCTGCTGCTGCTGCTGCTGTTTGCTGTTGCTCCTGTGTTAAGGACCCATTTTCACTTTTATTGCCCTGAAATCGAACGCCTCAAAAATATATAAAGCAACACATATAGAGAGAAGCAAATGAAAGAGAACGCGCCAAGTCATCATAAAATGCCAATGTAATGAAATAAATTTAACACAACATTTGTTCTCGGCCTCTGCCTCTTGGCTCAGCTCCTGTCACAACATTTGGCATGGACTGCTGAAGAGATGCAGTCAAAGGGAGAGAGAGAGAGTGAGGGACTCATAACAATCAAAAGGGCACACAAAAATATTTTCAATAATAAATCTATTTGATGGGCTGCTGTTGCCTTTTGCTTGAGCCGCATTTATCAGGGCGCATCCCAGTTTTATGGGCCATGGGCCATGGGCCGCAGGATGCGTTGACAGCAGTCGCAGTCGTTAAAAATCACAAAACGACGCACATGATTAATTGTGCAGACACAGCCATTGGGGGATTCTTCTATGTATTGGGGATACTCGAAGTCAGCTGTTGGCCGACCAAGCACACCAAACCACTTGTCACTTGCCATTTGCCTCTGGCCTCTGGCCCCTGCCCCAAAGCCCAAGACATTACTTGAATATTTTATGCACATTCTTCTTTCGAGTTTGCCTCGTTATTAATTTCTGTCCACTTCTCCATCTGTTGCACTTGCTCGCACAAACTCGCCCTTTCGGCCAGCTGACGGCCTGCCGGTGGTCAACTGGCCAACTACTCAACTAATTTTCCAATTTGTGGTCCGTGTCAGTCTGATATAAATATCGCATTTAATTGAACTGTCCCTATGTGTCGAACGCTTGACCTAACCCAATAAACCCCAGCGACCTTCATATATTATCAGCTATATGATCTACAAAGCATGTCTAGTGAAGCATAAAAGTCTATAAAAATAACAGAAAAGAGATCGAGCAACGATTCATGGGAAATACAAAATGTATATAAATAAAAACCACAAGCGAAGATGAATATCTAAAAGCACTTTAAGAAATAAAATAAATATATATAATTCAAAGAAGTTAATTCATAATTTATATTAATTCATATAAGAAAGAAAGAGGAGAGAACAATAATACTATCTGGAGGAATCCGAATATTCCAACGAGATCCAACCTCATGCAGCATGCCATAGGGACATATGTTCCCTCTCTGTAGAACGAATGCTGTCTCTCTTTTCAATTGGAATCTGAGCATCTGTTAATAAATCAACACTCGAGAAAGCAGCAACAGCAGAGCTAAGAGAGAGAGAGAGAGAACCCCTTGTAATTGCTTAATTAAATTGCCACTAAAGTTATAATTTGTGCCTGACTGAGTGCAAAGGATAATGCGCAGATTGTTTGAGCATCCTTTTGTGAGCAGCTGGCACTAAATCAGATTTGCTGACAGGGCTTAACTAATTTCAACCCGGCCACAATTCCGGCTGCACTTGAGCTGAACTGATTCTTTGTGCAGCTTGTGCCACTCACTCGTTCTCTCTCGCTTTCTCTCTCTCTCACACACACGGCAGATCCTTTCAAGTGGATGCTGCGCGTGCGTCCCAAGTGGACGCGTGCTAATGGGGAGCAAAGGTGCAGACCAGGGATCAATGGAGCTGCGCGTTAATTTATGCGTGTCCTGCGCAGCCTCAGCTGCAGCCAGTCCCTACCTCGCCCTTTGTGTGTCAAAGGACATGGCATATGCACAGACGGCACGGCACAGGCGACATGCCGACACATGACTTTTGTTGACACAAGCAGCCAGGAGCAGGAGAGTCCCTGCATGGCTGCGTCTAAGTGGTATTTATTGGTTTGCCAAGCGCTGGCGACGGCTGCCTCGGCTGCATATCCTGCGCGCAAGGATTGAATTACGCGCTGGCGACACATTTGTAAACAGGCGAATGATTTAGTTGCAGGACTACCGGCGCAGGAGCCAAACACACGGCGCGCCTTATTTGCACGCACACACACACACACACACACACAGACAAGGGTGGAAAGAAACCGAGAGAGAAACAATAACAAGGACAGCAAACAGATTGCGGACAATACATGTGCCGGCATGTCCTGGCATGTCCTTGACAGATCCTTTGCCACACTCTGTATGTTTGCTGTCACTCAGACGGACAGAGATCACAAACCTGATTGACAATCTACAAATTTGTGCATTTATCAATGAAAAGGACGCTTGTCAAGGTACAACACCGCGACAGCAAAGAGGGAAAAGGGAAATGTTGATGAATTGAGCGATTGATGTTTTTACACGCAAGCAGACGCGCCGCAAACATGAGTTTAAATACAAATGTGTGTATGGACATACATATATTATAAATAGCTACATATGTAAAGCCTAATTAATAAAATTAATTCTAAGCACTTTCAAATTGTAAATAGAAATGCGTTCCACATACCTTATTGTGATCCACAAAATCGCCTTCTATTGGTATTTGGCATCACTTTCACTTCGATCTCTTTTATTTTATTAGCGCCGTCTAAAATTGTATCAAAATGTTTATACAAATTTCGTGTTGTAATTGCTTTTGATTGCTCAGCAACTTACCTATAATTAAAAATTTCCATGCGCCACTCAAATCACAGAGGAGCTTATCGTAGGTATTTTGCAGAACTTTTGCTACGGTCACACTACGCCTAAAATGTTATGCAACTTTCATTTCCTTTCCTTTATTGCTTTATTATTGCTCTGCAGCTTGTGTACATCATGCTTTCACACTTCACATGTGCACTAACGAATGTTTTTAACACTTTTTACATATGCAATTAATGAATGTCGAACAATAAACAATTTAACTTGCGAAACGCACACTACACACACTGCAGCGCCGCCCGCTGCGCAAACAACGCAAAGAGAAAACCCGCGATGACTGACAAACACAACAGCAACAGCAACAACAACAACAACAGCAACAGCAATAGCGATGGGATTACACAATTGAAGCGAAGCGCCAGCCGATTAATCCGACTCGACACATACATAAGCACACACACACACGCACACAAACATGGAAACATTGCAGTGCCAATTGCGCTGCGACAGGTCGAAAATATTGTTGATCGCGGGCAAACATTGCGCGTATTAATAATTTATGCGATTAATCACAGCAGAGGTTGTTCCAATTGCGCGGAAATTGACATGCTTTGGGGACTTTTTCTGCAGCCTACTTAAAAAACTGTCACAATTAAATGACTAATACCCAGGGGCTTTACACTTTTTTGTACGTATTCTTCACAATCCCCTCGCAGTTACATACATACATATGTAATATTTGTGGCATTTCCAATAAGCTGAAGTTGGCCGAGCAGAAAAAAAATCGAGCTGGCAACGACTGACTTATAACTGATCCTAGTGAATGGCGATTTGGTGCGCGATTTCCTCGCGTTTTTTAACGCGTGCAAGTACCCCCAATTGCACTTTTTAACCGAACTGAAAAAAAAAACTAAAATAGAGCAATAAATTTGTGTTAATAACAGTTGCGATGGCCTGCCTTAACGGGGTAGCCGCCAGCAAGTGGCCATAAATATGGCCAAATGGGTTGACAGTTGGCAGCGACCAACAAAAAGGAGACCAGGAAACCCTTCCTCGAAATGTGAACTCCCAAATAGTTGTGCACCACAATTTGTGGCCAGAAATTTGATATGAATCAAGTGCCACGTGTCGCCTTTGCGAAATTTAGGGAACGCTCCTGCTGCCCCTATATACATGTATGCCAGCACGACAGATGCGCGTGCCCAAAAAAATTGTGTTCTGTTACACTTTCTCGTTTTAACTTGGCCAAAAAACAACACACAAGAACAAGAAACTAATCGCCGTAGCGAGGCGCGTTTATCGTTTATCGCGAGCAGACATCAGCGAAGGCGTGAGTGTGAGTGTCTAGCTGTGTGTGTGTGTGTGTGTGTGCTTGTGTTGGAGGCGGCAACGCATCTCGTTAAACCGCAACCGTTGCCGCTGATTCGAATCGCATCAGCCCATCTGTGCCGCTGGCTGTGCCCCGTTTTGGCTGTTCCCGTTTGCTGAGCGTGAAATGCAAGCAAGGACTCCCTCCTCTCTAGCGGTTGCCCGTTACGCGAATGTGATGTGATGCGATGTGTGAGTGCGAGGGTGGGGGCAACTACCTGCCAGATCGGAGATCCGTTCCAATTTGGCTGCCCAGCTGTTGCTCGCGCCTGCTGCTTGATGCGGCGATGCCTAGCAGGCTGGCAACTCTGCCTTCTGATTGATGTCACTGTGGAGCTGCCTAACGAGCTGGCAACTCTGACCAGCTGTGAGCGAAATACGAACGAAATCTGCTGTTAGCTGACCGCTGCATCCACATTGTGTGGATGACGTTTTATGACGTCAGAACTTTAATGTCTTCGGTGTACTCAATGGCTGCGTAATGCGACACCAGCAGCCGGACACTTGGCATGTGCCAAGGAAATGGACATGGAACACGGTCACCCAAAACCAAAAAACAGAAGTGCCTGCGAGTCCACTTGGATTACATGCCCAAAAATATGTATTTGACCCACACACACTTACACACGCACACCTTATAGCGAGTGTCAAAGGCCGTGTTAGGCTCGTGCACAGCCTTTGACAGGCGCTGAGCGGGGTTCTCTCCCTGCCACTGAATCCCGCCAAGCCAAGCTGCGAGTCAATTTGTCCAAATTGAAAATTGTTGAGCAATGGAAATTCGATACATTTGGCAGCAGCTGCTGCTGCTGTGCCCTCGCTTGGCTGCTGCTTGAATGCAGCCAGGCCACCCTGTAACCCAGCCGAACTCACACACGCACATGCATGTGTATGTGTGCATTAAGCTGTAAATGGCAATCGCGCTATACAAATTGAATACGAATTCGAAATCGAATTCTGCTTTGACTGCGCTTTTCATTCAGTATTCAAATTTCGATTCCGATGTGTGCGGCTAAGTAACGAAAAGGAAACGATGGAAAGCAATTCAAAAAGAATTTGCAATCATTTTAAAGATCTTCAAAGGGGTTTTTGTTATTTTATCTGCACATTGTTATCGGTATAGCCTTCGCAATGCCATGTAAGGAGTCCATTTAGTCCACCACATTACTAGGTAGATTATATAGATCATCCCCTGCAAAAAAAGTTAATACTCCATATATATATTCTATATCAATTTATAGGTGAACTTACGCCGACAGCTCTGCATGAGAGCCAGTTCCAGAGCATTACGATAGGTGAGCAGTGGCAGCCAGTCGTTAGTCTGGCTTTGAGGCAAAGTCCCATGATCGAAAAGCTCCAAGGATTTTAGCACGTCCATCATATCCTGAGCGAGCAGCTGAGGTACAAACTGCTGTATGACAGTCAAAAAGAGCAGATCTTTCGGAGGACGCGTGGCTTCAGCGGACACGGCCTCCGCAGCAAATCGAATGCCAGCGCGATGCAGCACAAGCACTCCGGAGCGCACCTCCAGCTGCTTGGTATTAAAGATCTCGGCCAGCACATTCGCCAGCTTTAGGAGATCAGCAAAGTCCGAGGAAGAAGCAGCCAGCTGAGGATCGGGAAAGGCGAGACGAACGCGCTTGTAGACCAATAGGCAGGTATGCATGAGGGTCATGCCAAAGTTCGTGGGATTCACGGACAGGCAGCGCTCCAGCGTGGAGCGCATAATGTCGCCAAAGACCGGATAGAACTAGAATAGATAGACGGGCAGAAGTTAGTCGGGAATCAGGCACCACTACTACACTATATATATGTATATGTATATCCACTTACGCTGTCGTAGTACTGCAGCACAATGCAGGCGCGCATTACTGGCATCACATTGTTGAAGACCAGCTTACAGTAGCTGGCCAGGATGCGCCGCTTGCTCTGCAGGAGTGAGAACACCTCCGCTGGCAGCAGCTCAGCGACGCCGCCATCAAAGACAAAGCGGAGCACGAAGCTTTCGATCAGCTCATAATCGTTGATGTTTGATTTGCACTCCAAAGAACGGATTGGGGTGCAGTTGCTTCGGCGCAGCGAGTCCGAAAACAGAACAAAAATGTCGCATGCGTAGGTGAACCCCTGTAAGGAAAAGAGCAAGAGTAGAGACAGGAGCAGGAGCCGAGCTCTCACTTACATCGCATTCCATTTGGATCAGGGAGCCCTGCTCGATCAGCTGAAAGCAAACAGATAGAAAGTTGTCCAAGCGTCGACGCAAATTGCGACACTCTGCCGACACATCCTTGCCTGCCTTGGCAGCCTCCTTCAGCCGCATCAAATCCCAGGAGAAAGATACGTATATAGTAGTTAAATAAAAGGAAATGGACTCGGCCGACAAGCAAGATTCGCTATCTTGTTTACCGTTGCCCCAGTCGTCCACTGCGTTCTGCAGCTTAACCAGAGCATTGTCGGTCAGCTGCCATTCGTTTAGGTCGAAGCGTGCGTAGAGCGTGGACAGCAGCCGAAGCGTATCAAGCAGACGTTTGGCATTCTCCTTCATGGGCACGCGGGAGTTGCCCGCAATGGACAGATCCCAGGCAGTGGTTGCGATCATGTAGTTGGTCACAGCACTGTTCAGCAGCTCCTTGCGATGGTTGCCATGGCTCACATTTAGGCTGTACAAATGCTTCAGGGTCATGGCGCCCATTTGCAGCACCGCATTATCCTGATGCTCGAACATAATGTCCTTGATGTGCTCGAGCAGCTCGCCGAACGGTTTATGCTGCAGCGACATAAACTGCGGCAGCTCTAGCAGATTCGTCAGATCCAGATTCGAGTCGCGGTACTGCTTTAAAAGCTTGGCCAACTTGCTTAACAGGACTGCGGTAGCTTTTTTCTTGGCATTTGGCTGGGCTTCGCGCACCAGCTCCTCCGCGTAGCGGCCAGGTGGAATCTCCCCAGTTACGGCCTGCTTGATGGAACGCGTGAGAATCTCAATGATGGCCGAGCACTCGGCGCGATCCAAGGACTCCGGCAGGAGTAGCATAGAGACCATTTTAGACCAATCTAGAACAACATCATTGCGTCCATAGTAGGCGTCAACTAGGTAGGCTGCATGTTCATGCTCCTCGAATCGAATGAAGAACCTAGCCAGAATAAGTATAGCCTCCTCTCTTGAAGTCGTCTCCTTATAGCGATAGGGCACCACATCCGCGGCTGCCTGTGCCACGCCCCGATGGGCAGCAAAGACCAGCTGCTCGATCACCTGCAGCATGGACTCGTCGAGCATCAAAGGATTGGCCTTATAGAAGAGCCCCAGTAGCTCAATGGCCATCTGTCCCAGTTCGCTCTCCGCGCTCATCGTCAGTCCCAGCAGGGTAATCCTATACGTGAAGCCCAGCTCAAGGCAAGCAGCGCGCAGCTCCGGATTCTTGTTGAGCTTGAGGAGCGACATTAGGCAGCATTCAACCACCTTCGCCGCGTTATCCTGCAGCGCAAGGAACAGATGCTTCACATAGTCCGCAATCAGACAACGTTGCGGATACTTCTCCAGCCACAAGCCACACTCGGAGAGGCACAGATAACGTATCTCGTCGACCACATCGATGGAGCGCTCCAAGAAGACACCCTCAAAGAGCTTCGACCACATATCCTTGAGCTGCTTCGTCTCCACGCTCACTATGTCGCTCAGCGTGGTCATCATCTTGAGAGCTATGAAACAAGAAGAATGATCTATATAGTGCTCTACAGTGTCCGGTAAACTACTTACCAATCAGCGTGGAGGTGTGCCTAAAAGCTCGCACCTTCGAGTCCACACAGACCAGGAGAAAGGCAATTATATTCTTCGAAAGCATATCATCGAAAAGGAGGCCAGCGTTATGACAGAGGCCCATCAAGCACTGCACAAATTGGCCAATATTACGAGCGTAACACTTGCCAGTTCTTATGACCAACGGATAGGACAACCTCTTCTGCAAGTGTATATATAGGGAAATGTTTGTAAAACATATAAAGTGAGGTTAGCAAAGCACTTACATTACCAAAACGGGCTGTTGCCGCTATGAGGACCTCACTATAGTTAACGGGGAGTTCTTTTCCGCTGGGCATTTGATACTGACTGCCACTCGCCTCCAGGACGAACTGTATAAACTTCACTAGAGCCGCTACTGGCGCATGCCTATATAGCCTTATCCAGCTTTCGCAAATATCCTTTAAGAAAAAAAGGGATCTTATGATTATAATGTAGCTAAGCATACCTGCTTTACTCACCTGCTTCGACTGCTTGCCATTGCAAACAGACTCTAGCAGGGAAATGCGGGAGCTCGACACAAAATCGTCACTAGAACTTTCCTCCAATGGTGCCTCATTCTCCTTGTTGCTGCAGTCGCTGACGCTGATACTACAAAATGGTATAGAAATGTCCAGAGTTACTTTATAGTAATCTAATTGTTTTACCAAGATGTGTCCATGCTCTCAGCTTCATCGACTTGCGTGGACTCCACAACTTCGATTGTATCGTCTTTGCTGCTCATTTTGGATATTGATAATCAACAAAGTACAAAATTATTAATTCCAAGAATTTGCTCAAGTACAGCACGTGCTAAAGCTGCACAGCGTTGCCAGAAAGCGCCAAATGGCGAAAGCCGATTGTGAACTCTTCAGCAAGTGAACTACTAACGAACCAGTGAGCTTTTGAGCGAAAAATAGCCATACAACAAAAAATGTGTGCTGCATGTAGCCAGGGACTGCAAATGTGTGTCCGTCCCTAAATCACATTCTTAATGAGCATCAATGCTTTCATACCCTTCCCACGAATCATCATGAAAATGCTAAAATTCTGCATGAGCATGGCAAACGCTTTGAAGAGTTCAATTCGGCTCCTCGCGTTGAGATTTCAATTTTTGAGAGTTTATGGTTGCCTGTGCGTACATAGAGAGAGTTAGAGAGCATAGAGTGAGATAGAGTGCATAGAGCATATTGGTGCTTCTTATGTGAATGTGTCCACTTAGAGCACTTGCACTGCCCGAGCCTATAGAGACGGAGCCGAACAAATACGAATTATAGTGGCCGCTCATCAGCAAATTTTCGGGAGTAGAAAAAATTAGCTCTGCTTGTTCAGTCTATGTACTGGATGGTTAGTGGAACCAGTGAGGGTTTGAGCACAAACAAGCAAGTAAATAATATACATATATAAATTGAGCTTTACTCATGAAAATAAATAGTGTTTATATTGGTCCTTGAGCTTCTCTTTTGATTTGCCAACAGTTACAGCTGCAGACTCTCTCTTCAGATTGAGTGAAATTATATTCAACACTAAATAGCTGTTGAGTCAATAGTTTGTTTCTCTAGCCCGTTTCGGGTTTTCCCACCGCTCTGTCAAATCGTGTGTATTCCTGTGATAATTCAATCCCGCAACAGGGCCAATTACGTTGGTCAGTGCCATTATTCCCACAGGCCGGTTCACTGCAGACAGCCTCAGTCAGTCAGGTAGGTAGCGAAACAACAAACAATTAGCTCAATAGCTCAGCCCCTGCTCCTCCGCAATGATACACAAACAGAGCGCAAATTGGGCTGAGCCACTTGTCGGGGCGTCTCAAAAGAACTGAGCGCAGCGAGATCTGAGAGAGAGGCCGCCGCCGCCGTCGCCTACGTTGAGGTCGCGTTTGAGGCTAACAAGGACCAAATAATCGGCCTCTGCCTCCCAAAAGCCAAACACAAATATTGACGTTGCTTATCGCACGCGATCGCCGGAACCACACGAACCACACTAAAAACACAGATCAGAGCACCACCGCCGACGCTGCCACCGTCGATCCGTCGATCCGCCGATCCGCTGACCATGACCACTCGAATGACTTGGCAAGTTGGCAACAAATTATTTCAATCTGCGCTGATGACGCGGCTCATTCCGCGATGATAAAAAGCTGGCGATAACATTTCGTTTCGGGCATTCCTGGAAGGCAGGCACAAATATTGACGCCCAGCTCATGAAAATTGGCTCAGCAGCTGCCGATTGTCGACTGGCGATTGCCGACTCCTGCTGCTGCTGCTGCTGCTGCTGCTGCTGCTGCTGCTGCTGCTGCTGCTGCTGCTGCTGCTGCTGCTGCTGCTGCTGCTGCTGCTGCTGCTGCTGCTGCTGCTGCTGCTGCTGCTGCTGCTGTTGCCTTGATTGAAAGATCAATCGAGATCAAGAGAACTCAGCTGCTCCCCCTTCGAGCCGTAATTGGACTCGAGCCATGGTCAAGCCAGTCAGCCATTCATTCATTCATTCAATTGTTATTCATATTCAAAATGTTTGCCTTTTGTACTTTGGCCGTCGATTCAATTCCATATTTGATATGTTTTTGGCATTCAGCCTCGAAATCTGACCTTTGCATTTGGTCCTTTTGTATCGGTCAGGGAATTAGCCGTTGTCCATTTGGCCAGCTGCATGTGGCGCTCCTCACATTTACGCACGTGACCTCGCATGCAGATGAGAAAGACTCGAATGGCAGCGAATGGTAAGGTAGCAGGCAACGGGCAAAGGGCAGAGGGCACACCTGCCCAGCGGGTCACCTACTGTATGATTGACGTATCCTTAGCCCCTAGCTGGTCCTTGGCCTCATTCAGTTACTGTTTCACTTTGATTAACAATGGCAAATGTGGCAAGCAGCCGAGGCATTCAAACTTTGTTGCATTGTTGCTCAATTCAATTTAGTTAGTTGCAACGAGGCGGGGCACAAACAGCAAGCAGTTAAAACCGCAAGAAATCATGGCGAAAGTTAAGATTGAAAAGGATAAAGTTTCGCTCAGCCAGGACTTGGCCAAAGGCGCTTTGCGCCAGTTATGTGGAAATGCGGCTTTTGGGCTAACTTCCAGCCTCACCCAACCCTCTGTCTCCCGCCTCCTCCCTTCTCCCTACACGCTCCTCCCTTTCCGATTCTCGACTCGAACTACGCAATGAGTTAATTTGTTTTACAAAATTGCTTTTACGACTGCCACAAAATAAGTTTTTTGCTTCCAATTCGATTGCTTAACTTGGCTTAGTTTCAAATGTGGCTTGCTGCTTAGTTAAGTCGTTTGGAAACATCCCTTGGATTAGGCTTGTAAAGAGACAGATCAAGTAGAACAATTGCCAAAAGTTTCGGGCAGCAGTAATGGGGGTGTATTGGTATAATGGTTTATAAATGGGCGAAACTTTAGAAATTCGAGTCCTTTTATAGATAATACTCGCAGTACCATTTATAAAGGAGAAAATAGAACTGATTTTGTGTGACATTTGTGTAAGAGAACAGTTACTCTCAGGCTGGGAGTCCCAGCTCCCATTTCTATCCGTTTCTCAGTCCCATCTTCTTCTGCCCACAAAATAAATCCTACATCACCCACCTTCTCCCTCACCCTTGCCTCCCCCTCCCCATTCCACACGAAGAACACTTTGTATGCCTCAAATATTTCGTGACAATATTAGAAACCTCCCTAAAAGGGGTTAACCGAAACGAAATGCAATATGATTGTATGATTATATACTATATTAAAATAAAACCTGCATTGTTTCTATACGAATGCAATTACATTTATTTCCGATAAAACTTTGATGTATTCCCCCTGATAACCTGTTCCGCATGTGCCACATTCACTCAGCTGTCACAATTTTCGGACGTTTTGGAACTGTTTCACGCCCACAGGCAGCTCCGGTAATTAACCGAAATAATTGTATCCAAGGCAATGGGTCGATTGTCAACAAACATGAAAATCAGCTCGGCATGTCCAGCCGACCAATCCTAAGTGGGTCAAATGTGGTAACAGAAGCAGCCACAGTAGAGCCACTATTGCCCACAGGTCTCCAAGCAGAGGAGTAACTATATATGTATATGCATGCATAGATGTCCATATGTCTGCCCATATGTATCTAGTAACGAGCATGTTAGACCTGCGAGGGCGTTGCATAATTAATCAAAAGCGGCACGCGGCATGCGGTGGGCGCCACAAAGCGAGCCGCCGCTGCCGCCAATCCCCAATCCCCAATCTACAATCCCGGCCAGCACCTGGGGGCCCGCGGGGAGTGAGGGCGTTTGGGCAATTGCAGCTGCATACAAATGTTGCCAGGCCGAAACGCCTTCTTCCGCATTTAATGACAAAACACTGAAGCCGCAACGGATGTGGACATGTAACCCAGCCGCCAAGTCATGTGGGTGCCAAGCAGGAAGCTAGTCAGCCAAAAATGAAAACCAGTTGACTGACTGAGTGCCTGACTGCTTGAGTGCCTGCCTGGCTGATTCCAATTCATGAATATTGGCAAAGGCGTCGTCGACGACGTCTTCGGTGGATGCACGATGAGTCACTGGCTGGCTGCAATTGCTCCTAACAATTAGTTAGGACCGGCTTGCCAAGTTGGCCAAGTTAATGTCGACTGACTGCCACAACAACTGGCTGCTAATTGACACACCTCGACTTTGGCCAGACACGTTGGTGTTTGCCTCCAATCACGTGCTGCGAGCAGAGGCCAAGACGAAGACGACGAAGACGAAGACGTAGACTCCAGCGACGATGACTCATCCGGCCTCAACATGTGCCAAACGCCAGCCCAGCTTAGCAGCCACAGCCACAGCCACAGGCGCAGCCACAGCCATTGCCAGCGCCTTTTATGAATGAAACGATCCACACGAATGTCTGCAAATGTCTGCAGCTTGGAGCTCCAGACGCAGTTGCTCCCCCTGCCTCGCCATCTCCCTCTCCTATCTATGGCTCTCTCTTGCTCCTCAGCTGTTGCTGCTCATTCAATGTTTCTAGTCGTCTACAACTTTTGCCTTTATAGTAAATCGTGTTTTGCATGCGCGAGTAGGTTGCCCGTCCACCGCCCCAACTCTCTTCTCTTGGTGCTCCCTCCTCCCGCCTAGCCGCCCTCTGCAGCAATTGGATTTGAAAAATTCATTCATGAAAAGAGAAACAAGAGCTGGCTTGGCGAGTTTGAAGCATTGCTCTTTGGACATTGGAACCTGCACAGTCGAGTTGGCATTTATTTTTAGTCTGCTTCTCGTAAATATATATATAGATAAATACACATACATATATACACCCATTCAAGGGGTATTCGTAGTTAGAAGCCAACTGCATTACGACACGTTCAAGTTTTCTGCTTAAATGTTTTTCGAATTTTGACTTTTTTCTTTGTGTGAGACGTTAATTGGGATATTAGAGAAAATAAAAATGCATTTTTATTGAATGAGCAGAGAAATGTGAGATGAGCTATTGCTTTTCAGCTATTGATATATTGTATTAAATGCTATATATGGGGTATACTTATATATGCATATATGGTTAATACCACCATATTTTGATACATATCAAAGATCAGGCTAAACTAGCTATAGATTGAGGATTAAGTCTAGTATCCCATAATTATATAAGTATATTTGTATCATTTTATAGATCTATTCAGTATTCATATCGATTCTTTTTATGAATCAACATGTACACCATTTATAATCCACTTCATATCGAATTCTATATTCACATCTCACATTTAAATACGCTTGGAAAATATTACTAAAGGCTTTACTTTTAGATGGCTCAACTTGAGAAATATTTCTGATAATTTGATTTGCATATTCGTCGCATTCATACTCGCATAAGAAGCTCAAAAATTTAAGAACTCGGACAGAGATGGCGTAGAGTGAAATTGGTGGAAGTGG